TATGTGGCTGGCGCCTTAGCCACCTGAGCCACAGGCGCAGAGCTGCAATCACTTCTCCTAAAAATTTTTTTAAAAATAAATTTGTCCAAAATGTCATGGTCGTAAGTTTTAAGAAACAAGTTTCAATAAGTTAAATAACATAAAAATAAAAGGAAAAACCAAACTTTGATTACCATAGGACCTAAACCCAAAAACAGAAGCCCTGAAGACTGAGATTCTAAACAGTTACTACCCTCTACCCCACAAAAGTTTATCCTTTTATTTGAAAGTAAAGCTTTAGGTATACAATATATTTTTCTTTCTAGGAATGTTATGGGTTTTCCTTGTTTCTTAAAGGGAAGGTAACTCCATTATCTGTTTATCTATAGATACATATTTAATTATAAAGAAATTCTAAGAAATTTTTTTAAATCCTACTTAAAGAAAGCATATTTCATGACCCTCCCATTCCCCTTCTCAATGTAAATATCTTTTCAAGGTATGTACCTACCTGTCCAGCATTTTTCTGATTGATAAGTTGATCTCCTGCTATAAGAGAATCCCAATTTTGCTGTCTTATAAGCTCTTTAACTTCTTCATTAGGGAGATCGATTCGATAGTTGAAATCGCCACACCAAAATACATAGTCATGGGAAAAAAGCATCCTTCCCTGAAAGCAATGAAATAGAATTTCAAGTTTAAAACAAGTACATTTTAAAAAATGTTTTACAACTATTTCTTTGCCTCAGATAGGCTTATACCTTCCTTCCATGCCCTGTTTTTTTTTTTTTTTAACTGAATAGTAATAATACATGAAATATCTACTTAGGTAAATACTGTTGATGTTTCTAGGAATTACCTTAAATTTTCAAAACTTCTGATATGTAATTTGGGGTATATTAAAATACTTTTCAAAGCTGTATCTTCAATAACAAGCAGCAAGAGCTTACCATAGGAAAACTCAATTTTCGTGCTATTTCTACAAAATCTTCATTTCTTTCTTTGACTTGTGACTGCCCTGCGGCAAAGTGGCTACAGACGAAGCAAAGGCTGGTTGTATGGAACAGCATTCGGATGGCAACTGCTCCCTTATTGCCAGTTGCACCTCCCATTCCAGTCTTCACTGTATCAACTGCAACATCCCTTTAAACAAAGAATTCTAAATCACAGATTTGAAATTTTAACAGTTCTGTGTGCATCAGAAATTAGGAATACGTATATGCAATTATATAACTATCATATGGCACCCGTGGGAGGAAGCCTATGGAATAATAGAGTGAAACTAACCTTTAATCGAAAACTCATTTAAAAACAAGAACTAGGGACAGGTGTTTCTCTCAAGCAACACAGTAGACCTTTTTCTTGTTACTTAATGGTAGGAAGTAGCCTTAGGACAGTGGTTCTCAACAGGGCTGTGGCATTAGGAACGTTGAGAACCACTGCCTTAGGAGATGGTTCTGTTTACTGACCTGATAAAAGGAGCATGCTGTGGTCTGATAAAAACAAACAGACAGACGCCCACCAACTGTTCAGAAGCCAGCAGCACATACTTATTGTCTCTGGAGATTGTCTTCTGAAGTTCCACAGCCCAGAGCTTCTGATTTGTTGTGCTATCAGAAAATATTAAAAAGAGAATCTTTTAAGCAGAAATTGACAGCAGCCTATTTCAAAAGACAATTATTAATTATATCTTTAACCAAATTTCCTAAGACTGAAATGTTTATGCATACTGCTTTTGTTTCCTTTACAAAGGAAAACCCAAAACTTAGCCAAAAGAATACCGTTATTTCAAAATCTAATCTCCTACTCCTTTACAAAGAAATGCTAAGCCAATTTATTAAATGACTACACCCCAGGTGAGTAATCTCAAGCTTATATATTTCACTTTAGAGAAGTATAGTCGCCCTTGGTATTGATGGGAGATTGGGTCCAGGACCTCCTTCAAATACCAAAATCCAAGGATGCTCAAGTCCCTTACATAAAATGTCATAGTATTTTGTATGTAACACACAAACATTCTTACATATACTTTAAACCATGGCTGCTTACTTATAGTACCTAATACAGTGTCAATGCTATGCCAATAGCTGCTATACTATTGTTATTTGGAGAATAATGACAATAAAAAGGTCTGGATATGTTCAATACAGACACATTTTAAAAAATATTTTTGATCAGCGGTTGGTTGACTCCACAGATACAAAGGACTAAGTGTATGTGTTTTCAGATACATGTCCCCCTTTTTCTCATTTTTCTGAGTTATAATGAATGTATGTTTTAAAAACTTAACTATGGGAAACATTAAACATCCAAAAAAAGAGAGATAATTATTAAATAAACCACCATATACCCATTATCCAGCTTCAAAATTATCTACATTTTGCTAATCCTTTTTTTTTTTTTTTTTTTGTAGAGACAGTCTCACTTTATCGCCCTCAGTAGAGTGTCCTGGCATCACATAGCTCACAGCAACCTCCAGCTCCTGGGCTTAGGTGATTCTCTTGCCTCAGCCTCCCGAGTAGCTGGGACTACAGGAGCCCACCACAACGTCTGGCTATTTTTTTGTTGCAGTTTGGCCAGAGCCAGGCTTAAACCCACCACGCCAGGTATATGGGGCTGGCGCCCTACTCATTGAGCCACAGGTGCTGTCCAATATTTTGCTAATCTTTTTTCTATCCTTCCTCGCCATTTTGGGGAAAGGTAGAGGGTAAAAAGTAGAATATTTCAGAAAAAACCTGAGGCACATGCCATTTCACCCATAAGTACTTCATATGCATTTCTGATGCAATGGGGCATTTTTATTTTTACAAATCACAATGCTATTATCATAGTTAAACATTAACAATTCCTTAATATCATCTAATGCTCAGCTCATATTTAAATTTCCCCAATTATCTAAAAAATGTCTTCTTGTGGTCTGTTTCTTTAAAACAGGGTATGGCTCAGCGCCTGTGGCTCAAGCGGCTAAGGCGCCAGCCACATACACCTAAGGTGGCGGGTTCGAATCCCCAGCCCGGCTCGCCAAACAACAATGATGGCTGCAACCAAAAAATGGCC